CCCCCGGGGGGGAGGGCCCCAAACCCCCCCAAGCCAGCGCCGCCCCCGCCCCCTCCCGCCGGACCCCGCCGCCCTCCAGCCGCTCCCCGCGCATCCGCTTCCAGGGCCGCCCTCCGCCCCACGTGCGCGCCCCTCCGCGCCGCGGGAGCAGGGCAGGGCGCGCACCGCAGCACCGGCCGGCCGGTACCCCCGGAGGTGGGCCCGCTCCTGCCCTCCCCCCTGTCCCCTGCCCTCCCGCGGGGGCGGCGCGGCCTCCGCCCCTGGTCCTGAGGGGCTGCTCGGCCTCCCCTTCCCTTCCCCTCCCTTCTCCTTTCTCCCTTTCCCTTCCCCTCCCCTCGGTCCGTAGGTGAGGGGCCCGGCCCCGGCGGGGGTGACGCGTGTGGGGGGGCGGCCGGGCGGGCTGTGGGGGCGGCCGTTCATTGTCATTATCCGGACGGTGGTGCTTGGGCATCTCTGATGAGGAGACAGCGCTCCGTGATTGATTTATGGCTTGGTTTGGGTTTGTTTCTTTTTTGTGTGCGCCTTCCTTACCCTGTGCAATTTGTACAAGGGGTGAAGGTGGTCATAGTGCGGTAGTTGGAGAAAACTAGTAAGAGGACTCATCCTTAGGAATTCTGTGCAGTTTTTCCGGCAGCTGACAGGCCACGAAGGACAAACGGGGGGACGGGCTGTTGCCCCCTCGAGAGCTGGTCCCTACAAGACACAGCCCGCCTGGCCTCAGGTCTGGCTCCACCATTCCTCAGCCCACCAGCATTTTGGAAGCCCTCAACACTGAAAAAGCTGCGTTTTCCTTTCAGTTTCCATTTCTGCCAGAGTTGGTCGAGGAGCAGTTTCTCTTTTAAATCTCAGTTCTGCACGTACCACATTTTCCTTTCCATACGCACCTGATGGGTCACCGTATCTCTGATCGTACCTCATCCCAGCCTTATCTTCACTGAAGCTGGACAAAATAAAAATGCTCTAGATATTTAAAGTTTTACTTGTCTAAGTGGATATTTTTAGATTCTCAAGTGCTGAAGACGCAGTTCCCTGCGTTATGAACATCCGCTCTCAATTCCCTGTTGCAGCCTCAGCCTTGAGTTACTTCCAGCTTGTCTGTCTTTTTCAGACAGTGGCCGCTTATACAGGGGTAAAAAAGAGAAGTGTGGAGGTTTTACACAATATCATTGTGGTGAATCTGCTTCAGCAGAATGTAAACCAGAAATGCAAAGTCTAGCTAGTTCTAACCTCCATTGAAGGAGATAAAGTATAATTTTAAGTGGAAGGAAGGAAAGAGTTGTTTCCTCTTATGCTTGGTACTTGGGCATCCTTTGACATGTCAATACATACCTGTGAAAAGGTAGGATGTGAGAGAGGAAGAGAGTTTTAAAAAGTGCTACCTCCTCCTGGCAGCACCAGATTAAGGCAGCTACTGAGAGCAGGTAGCTACTGCAATTAATGCTGTGTACCTCAGCTCATTTTAATCTTAATCTTGTTTATCTGACCAACTCTTATCACTGGTAAAAAGGGAGTCAGAGTCATGTGGAGGAGGTCTCTGCTGTTACTCTTTACCGCTGTTGCCTGTGGGAATATATGACATTCCTGACATGACACTTTGCTTCAGTCTTCTGTCCAATAAGACTAACCCAGAGACAAATGAGTGTTTCAGTGAAATAACACTGGTTGTCTTTGATACTGGGTTTTCAATACATTGCATTCCCAATTTATTGACTGGTTGCTGTGGCTCTGTGTTAAATAAAATAATTACTGGCTTATCTTTTTCTTCTGTTTGCAGATATAAATGACTCTCTTGTTAAACTGAACCATGAGTCTTGCAATACATGATCTGCTCATTTGTTGTCGTCGCCTTGAAAATGAGAAGGCTGTGGAGCGAAGGGTAACAAGTTTTCTTTTGGTTTGTGTGTGCCGCAGCGATGGAGGGAATCACTAATGATTCTTTTTCTTGAAATACATTTTCAGAAGGAAATTGAAAACTTCAAGCGACTTCTCCGTGATTCTGAAACACTTCTCCAGCTGGACCGGAATTCTGATTCTAAACAAGGGAAACAACTCAACTGGGATGCTCTATTTAGGTAGCTTCTTTTTTTTGCTTTGTGAATGGTTGCAGTTTTCTTACACAGAATATCATGCTTTTGTTTACTGGACCTATTTTAGTGCTTATCTTTCTTCAGATTGATTTAGACTTCTTGTCAGCTTGTAAACAATAAATGACTTATGTTAGTCTCTAAAGGAAGTAGATTTAAAATAGCCAAAAATGCAACACTTACCACATACAGAAAACTTAACTGCCAGGAAACTGATCATTAATTGAGTGGTCGTTTTTTCATGCAAAAATAATAGTTACTTTATTGAAAATTATCTTTTGCATCTGATTTTCAATGTATAGTACATATGTAAATTATAGGTAGTTCATTAGAATTCTTTGTGTTACTGAGTTCAAGACACAGTAGAACTAGGACTGTGGCATGTAAATTGAAGAAGCTGCACTGAGGTTTGTAGGGGCCCATCTTTGATACAATCTTTTTAGGTGTGCTGCAAGATTGGACTGAGCGTTAGTGTGATAAGTTCTTAGAGCAGCTGGGACCAGTGCTAAATTTCATGCTAAAAGTGCATCTGAAGTATTGGTTTTCATAGGCTGGTGTCTGGTCAGCTTTCCAGTACGTTTTTTAATCAGCATTAGAATAGTTTTTGTTTCATAGCTGTAACAAAAATATCGTAAGAAGGATTTGATCAATTCTTTTTTTTGTTGCTCTTGAGATGGCCAATATTATAGTAGGAGTACACAGAAGGAGTACAAAAATAGACTCTGAACTGTATGCAAATCGTAGGCCTAATAGGAAATCTACAGTAATTGCCAGTGATAAAGCCAGCGATTTTTTTAATCTATTCTTAGATCTAAAATCTAATCTATATGTTAATTTTAAATGATGGAGAAGTGAGACTTGAGGGTTTTCCCCAATAAAAACAATGAAGAATCCTTCTAATATTTTGTTGTATAATGTTGCAGCATAAATAAAAAGACTTAGCACTGCTTTTTTTCCTAATTTTAAATGGTATGCTTAGCATTATGCAAAGTTTAAAGGAAAGTTTGGTTCCTATTCAAGTTGCTTCTAGATAATCTGTAAAACTAGCAGCTCCTTTTATAGATTATTTCCATCATGCTTAGACTGTAATATATTTCAGTTGGATTTAGTTTTTGATAATTAGAATCGTGAGAGGAACAAGCACTGACATTCTAGGTTAAAACAACATTTACCTATTTTATTTAGTCATAAACATGCAGATCCTTCATTAATATCTCTTTTATTTTTGAAGTGTCTTGCAGAAATGTTTCCAGAAAGAAATGAAAAACCTGCAACTGACAAAACCAAATGCATCTGCTTCAACCCAAACTACCAGACAGAAAAAGATGCAAGAAGTTGGAAGCTTGGTCAAATATTTCATCAGATGTGCTAATAAAAGTCAGTTATATATATTCTTATAGAATTACTTCTTTGTTTTGGTGCTTTGCTTTCAACTTTAAATTTTTACTCTGAAGTGAGTTGCCAGGGTAGGGTTCATCTTGCACTCTTCCAGGTGTTTACAATTTAAATATCTTCTTATGAATCAGTTCTTTGTTCTCCTTCTCTTTTGTTGTCCTTGTTGATGCTTACAGAGCCATTTTCTAGTTATTCAATGTATATGTAACTGATGCATCCTCTCACAAGTTAGTTTGAAGATGATTCCTAATATAACTGTTTCTGAACTGCAGTGGGTTTTTTTATTTTTAAGTAAACATTTACAGTCAATTCCAGATTTATTTGGAATTTGGGTTAATTACAGTCTCACATTCTTGCTTCATGTAGGAGGACCCAGACTGAAATGTCAGGAACTTCTGAATTACGTCATGGAAATTATAAGAGAGCCAACAAGTTGTGCTGCTTATGGATCTGACTGTAGTAGTATACTCCTAAAAGATATCCTCTCAGTAAGGAAATATTGGTGTGAGATACCCCAGCAGCAGTGGTCAGGTAATATTTTTAAGCCTGGTTACAAATGTCTTTTCCTGTTACTGGAGCGTGTTTAGGTGCATTTTAATTTGTTTGATGCCCTGTTATGTGAGGTACTACAGAAAACATGCAGTAAAGTAGTGTCAGCCTTGAAGACTTACAGCTGAAATAAACAAAGCAGCAAACATTAGGAATTGATTTTTTTCATTCTGCATACTGTTTGTCTATTGCTTGCTGAAACATACGTACTTAAATACAATCAGGTTATGTAGGCATGATCTCTACATGTAAAACAAACCCATGGAATGTGTGTGCTGGAAATAGCCTCAGTAGAACTGGTGTTGGTGTGCAGTTATTTGCAAGTTACTAGGTATTGGCTGGTATAGTTT